AAATGCTTTTCAGCCCCCATTAGTCTAATGCTTTAGACTAATAATAATAATGATGACAATAATAGCTAACACACAACATATTTACGATGTAATTAAAAACTGGCCACGGTTGTATTGACTCCTGGTTCCTGATGACTTCAGGGTCCCCCCGTGGGGTTGCAGTGGGAGAATGAGCCTGACTCTGGAGCATCCCTGTCCCCTCCCCACCTGTCCTGGCCCCTCTTGGGCTTTTTCAGCAGCTGGTTGGGGCCCCGCCCTATTCCTTACCTCCCGTTTCTCCCCTAGTGCCTGCCTCGTCTTGTTCTGCCCTAATTACACATAGTTCTGTAAATACTTCAATGCCAAGGTACTGGTATTTCCCTGTGTTAGTGTCTGAATTCTGACTTGGAGCTTAATAGAAAAAAACAAACGGAGACAAAACCTGGACTGATTTTCGAATGCCTTGTTTGTTTCACAACATCTCGCAGGTCTGTCCCACAGTGCTGGGGAGCGCTTGGAAGGAAAATTGCCACTGAGTACCGCAGCTTTACTAGTAAACCACTAAAAGAACACATTTTCCCTCCTCTGATGGACATGCTAGTTTATTTTAATTTTTGTAAGTATATACCCTTCATGAATCTGCCTATATATTTTCCCCAAGTAAAGAACTCACTGCCCTTAAAGCTGTGGCACAACGAAAAATAGACATCAGTTATAAAACTCTGGCTAGAGTGAAAGGGTCTGAAACCAGGTTACCTTTGGCTTTGGGGGCCAAGCATGAGTCCTTGCAATCTGTTGGAGACAGAAAAACATGGCCTTCTGGGAAGGGTTCCAATTCAGGAGCTCAGTCTTCAGATCAACTGTTAATGTGGGTATTTTACTGCCTGTTGAAATCTTTTTACTTCCTCCTCTTACCGATATCCCAAGAGACAGAGAGAGAGAGAGAGAGAGAGAGAGAGAGAGAAAGGGAGAGAAATGCTGGTGGTAGAACTCTATTTTCTTGTGTCTTTTCTACCGAGTGCTGTGTTAGTCGATGTGCCACGGGCCCTTCTAGGACATGAGTAATGCTCCAGGTGCATGTCCCCAGGTGCATATTTATCCTGGACATTTCATGGCTTATGGCTTATGGCTCATAATTAGGTTTCACTTTAAAAAGTAACACTTGACAGTAGCAGAACACTCATGACCTATTTCTAGGTCCTCTCACCTTCTCAGAAGAATGGTCTCTGTTTCCTTTAGCTTGAGATAAGACTGAGGATTGAATAAACTCTATTATGAATTACCTACCACACACTGGTGCTATTTTAAAATCTAGCTTTAGATCTTTTTGGCCAACCCTTCTGTAGGCTAGCCTTAGTTTATAAAATAAAATAATTGGCTAAGAATTGAGTGTAATAGCTTGAAGCTCAGAAATGTGTTAACCATGAGGTTAATTACTTTTTTTGATTGTGAATAAAATGCCTGGAATTTGATTCTGGGAGTTGATAATGGTTTCTATTTCCCAGTCAAAGCACCATTTCTTGTGGATTTAAAGAAACCGGAGTTAAAGATGCCTCGCACAGTGAACTTCTATATCAAAGTTGAACCTGGGGTGATTCTGGGAGTCTGGTGAGTACGCTGATTGGGCACTGGGTTGCTTGAGGAACTTGGTTTCCATGTTACAAGGGCGAGGATGAGCAGGGCTGTGCCACTAGCCTGTGGAGAGGTTGGTGTTCCTCAGAGGCACCTGGAAGCTGTTCCGTACACCTTTCGTTTGTATTGATATTTGACCTGCTTCAGTTTGCTTTTCAGGAACTTTGGAGTGTGACAACTTCCAGGTGTTGCTCTGTGCTTTGGGCCTTTCACAGGCCTGAAGGACCTGGTCCCGGCCCCTCCTCCTGACTTACTCCACACTACTCTCTCCACTCTGCTCCAGACCCACTGGCCTCGTTGCAAACCATGCCATACTCTCTGTCTACATATAGGGGTGTCCAACCTTTTGGCATCTCCGGGCCACACTGGAAGAAGAGTCGTCTTGGGTCACACATTAAATACATTGCAACATGTAATCACAAAAAAATTTGTAATATTTTAAGTAAACTTATGATTTTGTGCTGGGCCGCATTCATAGCCATCCTGGGCCATACGCAGCCCATCGGCCATGGCTAATTTTCAGGGAAGGCTTTCCTCATCCCCATTTTAGGCGTAGGTTAGTGGCAACCTGTGCTGTCCTTCCTGGCACTTATTCCCTCTGTAATTAAGTAATGTTTGCACAATTATTTGGTTAGTGTTTGCTTTCCTTACAGGACTATGTCTTCCATACATAAGTGACTTTGCTGGTGGGTCTTCATTGTTTAGCACAGTGCTTGGCACTTATTTATTAGTACTTGTCAAGTGAAGTCATGGACATTCTGTTGTCTTTTGCACTATGCTTACCTCAGTGTCTTCTTCTGTTTCATTCTATTGCTTGTCCTTGGCTGCCAATTTTCCAGTGCTGTTTTATATTGCATCTCCCTGTACCTTAAACAGCAGGGTACAGTTCAGCTAACATGTTGGAATTTGAAAATCTTTTTATTCTTTGCTCTTGCCCCTTTGGTCCTTGGTTTGGTGAGTCACCTCTCTAGGTGACTTACCCAGCTAGCGGCAATGCCCGTCTTCACAGTTCAGAGGCCTGGGGTTTTATGTCAGAGGACTGAAGACTTTTCATCATGTGGCCAGTTCTCTAAGTCACCTTAAGACATGTCATATGGCAGGGTTCATATTTCCAGGGTTAATTCATTGGTGTAACAAGGCAAAGGAACTGAAGCTCAGGCAGATATCTACAATCACAAAGTCACTGGGTTTCTTGAGAATGGCTTAGTTTCATGTTAAAGTTCTTTCCTCCTACCTAAACTGATTTCCCTTTACGTTCTTTCCAACTTACCCATTAAACCAAACCGACAGCACATGGCAAATATCTGTTATCTTTTACTTGTTTCCACTCAATGGACTGCACTTTGATGGACTGCACCCAAGAGCTGGGTGTTGGAAGATTATTAGGTGTGGGGGTTGGAAGGACTAAAATGGTACATGAATAAAAGGGGTTGTCTCCATGTGCGGGGATGATGAGGCCGAGCAATAGTGGTTTTCCATGCAGGATGCTCTGTAGTATTACATTTGGGTGTTTGCCATGTGTATATACTACTTAGGTAAACATTTGTGTCTGTAAATTTATATAAAAGATATTTATATAAACACAAGTCATCTATGTATCTATGTATCTATGTATCTATCTATCTATATCATCCACCTAGCATAAGGAGTGTTTCAGACTTTGGCAAGGATAAAGAAGTCTTCTCTCAGTCCATGTTTGTTAAAAGCTTTCCTTGCTCTTCAGGCACACGGTACCCATCTGCCGGTGGGAAGATGCTAAGGGGAAGGACCGATGCTGGTACGAAGCAGCCCTCCAGGATGGCAACCCAATTATTGTTTATCTTCATGGCAGTGCGGAACACAGGTCAGTGCCTTTGATTACACTTTTTTTTCTTTTAAGAGGGAGACAGAGCATTTCAGCCCAATGGGGGAGTGGAAGGCAAGGCTCAGTTTTCAACTCTGTAAAATGCTTCCACATATTTTTTCCCTTGTTGAAATTTCATAGTGTCCTGGTGGTAGGCTTTTCTTTAAAAAATCCATACATTTTATATGTAGAATAATGTGGATCCTTAACTGAGAGGGACATGAACTTCCAAAATTTAGACACTGGTTTCCAGGAAAGCAGTGGTTCCTTTACTACTAAGAGTGTCTGAAATGATGGATTGAACCCATGGATGATGGGAAAGGGAACAGGCATGAAATATGGGCACAGAAAGAGCAATTTCCCTATCAGTGGTGCTTTCACAAAAGTACATGAAGATTGTTTTATTCAGCGTGGATCCTATTAATCAGTGCTGTGGACTCCTATGAGAGATCACCTGGAATTCTGACCAAGTCTAGCCTAGAATACTGATGCCTCGGCTTTGCTGTCTGTGGTCTCAACCTTGCTTTGTGACAAAGACTGCCTCCCAGAAGCCTGGCTCTCCTTTGATGTGCAGCTGCCAGAGCCTTCAGTGGGCCTGTGATTACCGTGGCTGAAGATGATCAGCTCTGACTGCCCCTTGTCTTCTTGGGGGAGGGGCAATGTGCCTCACAGACCCACAGACCTGGCTCTGTCTCTGGAGGGTCAGTTCAAACGAAGTGACAAGCCCTGGAATCTGCCCCTTGGCTCCCTTGCCTATGCCTCTTTTTCTCACAGTCTTTTATCTGTCAGATGATGGCTTTCTTGAGGAGTCCATTTTAGAGTCACATTTACAGAGCTCGCCTGTGAATTTAGCATTTTCTAACATTGTGCAGACTTGGGCATGATGTTAAAATGCACTTATTTAAAGGATCACGTGGATCCCACCTTCACGGCTGCCCCTCTGTGATTCTGCTATTGTCTCTGTTACTGCAGATTTACTAGCTCTGGGGTTAGCCCCAGCTTTCTCCTGTCCCCTGCCCAGAGCTCTCAGCTTGCTGTCAGTAGTACTGAGCTGAAAGGAGGCCACATGGGAGGTTATTTTGGAAAAAAATGTTTCTTGAACCTCCAGGAGTGTGAGTCTCTCTCCTTCCCTTCACCTTGCCTTTGGTGGCCCAGTGGACAGGCTCCAGGCAGATCTGAGTTTAGTGAGTGTGACTGTATCATCCTTTTTTCTAAAAAACCACTTTCTGGAACTTATTTTCCTTTAGCTTGTGAAAGTATTCTTAGAAATAAATTTTGCTGCATAGAAGTGTAAGGAGATGGGTTCGGATGCATATTCATCAGATGCTTATGGTGAGAAGCAGAGGAGCTGGGCAGGAGTGGGAGCCATCAATCATTCCCCTGACACGCCCACTTCCCTTTCCCCTAGTTATTTCTCTAACCTGACAAAGAAACGTGTGAGATCAGCTGCCAGCAGCATGACAGTGATTTTTATTGAATTTGTCGTCCCAATTCCTAAATCTTGCCTTTTTTTTTTTTAACCTTTTCTACAGGGCAGCACCTCACAGGCTTAATCTAGTACAGGTATGTCTGAAGGGGCCACAAGGCACTGATTTTATGTCTCCATTTATTCTCTTCTGGGCTGCGGCCTTAAGATCATCCTCAGTCTTCAGCGTGGTTATGTCCTGAGAGCTCCCCAAGGTGGGTTTGGTGTCTGGGGCCCAGGCTCCCATGGGTGGACTTTCTTCCTGCTTTGACTGTGGGGATCAGCATAGCTGTGAACATCTGTGAGTCCCAGAACACGTTCATGAATTTAGTACCTTCATTAGCATATGGAATTGAAGGTCCATTTATTTGCTTTTTCCAAGGGCTGTGGGCTGGGTTGAGAGGATACATTAAGTGTGAAGAGGATACAATCACTCCTACAGAAATGACCCTTTTTGTGATATAGAATAAAGACCTAGAATGTCTATTTTTAAAAGTCATCCAGGCCCTGGCTTCAGCTCCATAAAAGGTTCTGCACGGCGGGAAGGTGGCCACACTTCGCTGCAGGGTGGGACGGTGGTCATGAGCCTGCTACATGACTGCAGTTTGTTGGGGCAGCCCCTGCATTTCCAACTGTGAGGGCAATGGCCGGCTTCCCACTTCACCATCTCCGACTTCTGAGTCAGAGCTGGTCAAGCAGGCTCACTGTGTATCCTCTCCCACATTCCAGCTGGGTCATTTTTTGCTGCAGGTGACCGGGCAGCTTGTCCAGTTACTGACACAGGGCCTGATCTCTCCTCTCACGTGCCTGCTCCCACCTCAGCTCTTTCCTGATTTAACAGTATTAGTGGGGTGCAGGATCCTGCCGGGCCCAGCCCCTTCTTCATCCTCACTCCCCATTTCAGACAGGAAGCTCCTCCCTCCTTCACTCACTGTCTTCTCAGAGTGGACTGGTGGAGTGGTGGGGGCTGGATACAGTTTCGCCTGGGATGGTGATGCCTATTCGTTTTTAGGTCTGCACCCCTCTTTCTGCCTTCCCATGTGGGATGGTGGTGAAGCCGATGTCTGTGAGAACATGTATTTTTTCCTCCTCCCACTCTTGGCAGAGCTGACTTGTATGTTCCCTGTGTGCACAGAAGGGAGAAGAGTTGGAGGTGTAGGTGTGAACAGTGGCCAGATCATCCCTGTGGTAGTTGGGTGGGTGGGGAAGGTATGAGAAGACTTCTTCCCGGGAGCAGCTTCTGGGTGTCCCAGCCCCAGTCAACCCCTCCCAGCCTGGCCATACTGCCTTGGCTCTTCATTCTCTCTCTTGGATAGGTGATTTCTTTTCAACAGAATTGCTATGGAAAACTTTAAGCATTCAGTTTATTCTTCTTTGGGACTATTTTTCTCTGGAGATAAATTTTTAGACTCTGTTGCTGCCATTGTTCTTGAGGTGTATCGTCACAGGGTTCTTCAATTTCCAGTGTCACAAACCACACACAAATGTTCCCATTTCCCTGGAGGCTGAACTGCCCTGTTTCTTAGATAACTTTTTTTGGAGTGAATGTAGTTTAAATAGATATTTAAAATAGACTATTTTCTCATTATTAGTTCGGTTTGTATTTAAAAGTTCCTGAGGGGAGCCAGCCACCGTGTCTAGGCTGTGGGAGAGGAAGCACAGTGCTGGGACGTAGTCGGGCCCAGCTGTGAACCTCGGTTCTGCCCCGGCCACGCGGGTGGCCGACCATGAACACACTGCTCCAACTCTCTGAGGCTCAGTTTCGCTGTCTGTTCAAGGGGGACAGTGCCTTCCTTACGGGACTGTTGTGAGGATTTAGTTGGAAAAGTGTCTGTACAGTCAATTTGTTCTTCTGCCCTCTCTTCTCTTTGTCTGTCTTTGTAATTCATGTCATTTAAAGTTGTGTTTTTCTTGTTCTGTCCTTACTTATCTACATGGGGCTTGGCAGTGGTTTGATTTAATCTAATGATCTCTTTATTTTTGATTGGTATTAACTCTTTATGTTTTTATTTAATATAATCATCTCCCTATTATTTGATTGCCTCTACTGCAATTCTGTGTAGAGTTCTTATTCTGAAGGGAATTCTTTAAAAAATACATTTACCACGTACCAAGATATTTTAATGTGTCACCTCGTGTAATTCTCCAACAGCCCTGAAGGCAGCGACTACTGTTTTTCACTTTGCAGAATAATATGTACGTATTTAAGTGTGAATGGCTTGCTCAGGGTCACACAGCTGGTTAAGTGGCGGAGCCCCAGGGTGGCCCAGGCTGTGTGACCCTGCTGTGCTGTGCTGCTTCTGTCCCCTCCTTCCCGCTGGGCCTGACCTTCTCAAGATTGAAGTCGAACACCACATTTCCAAAATACATCTTTTGCCTATTTACTAAACCATCACGACTGGGGTAGCAGAGACGTTGAGGAGGTTATACCGCCTTTTCTGTCTACGTCTCCTAATTAAATTGGTAACAGCTCCTTTGCCATCTAGGTGCTGAGTGATGGTGGCTTTCACGTCCTGTCTGTTGACTACAGAGGTATGTGTTACGAGGGCAACGGGGGAAAACTGGAACAACTGTAACGGAATAAACAAGAATAAAAAGGTTACGCCACAAAAAAACTAAAAACAGTATACAAAGATTTTTCAAGAAGCAGGAGGCTTTGATGACTCCCTTTGGAGATGGTGATGCTGTGTTTGTCTTGCCTCGCTGCCAGGGTTCGGGGACTCTACAGGCAAGCCCACGGAAGCGGGACTGACTGCGGATGCTATTTGTGTCTATGAGTGGACTAAGGCAAGAAGTGGTACCACCCCCGTGTGCCTCTGGGGCCACTCTCTGGGTACAGGGTAAGTGGGGTGTGAAGCTGGGTCCTTCATCGGGTCCTTGGGGCTTTGGGCAGCAGTGAGCCCTGGAAGGAGCCATGATCGAGGAGTCAGGGACTCTTCTCTGGTTTCTCTCACCTCCCACGTGTGGCCAGAGCCCTGGCCTTCTCGGTGTGCCTGGTTGTCAAACAAAGGAGGGGCCACTCAGCCCCATGGTTACCTGTGACACTGAAGCCTCCTCTCCTTGAGAGTTTTAAAGAAAAGTGTTCTTAATTTAGGGTCAGCAAGACCCCTTGAAATTCTGTGCAAAATTTTGCATCTGAGCATTTTCTACCCAGAGCTTCCAGAGTTTCCACCAGATGCTTGTCCTGGGTGTCGAGTTTTGTATTATTTACTTGACTGTTAAATCACTGTTTCACATATACACTAATTTTTATTGCTTTACAGAGTTGTAACAAATGCTGCGAGAGTACTAGAAGAGAAAGGTACTATATGATGATTGCATGGTGTAATTTTCTGGCTTGAGGTGGGAACCTGAAAATAGTCAAGAGGCTATTGTACACATTTTGAACACAGAGATACCTAAAGCACCCCAACTTTAGCCAGTTTCTGATAGGTAACAAACTTTTTTCTCTCTAATATATAATAGAGAGAAAATTTTTTCAAGATTATGAAATTAAAAATAAATATTAAAGAAAAAGGTAACATTACCTTTGAAAGAGCCCTCAGTGAGAAGTGATAATAAATGTTATGGAGCAATTTGAATTACAGGAGATTAAAGAATACAGTGAGAAATAATAGGCAGGGCTTGCTTTTCTGCATCCCTTCTTACATAATATGCATGTCAGTATTTCTCAAAATGCTCCAAGAACTGCCTGGATCAGACTCTCCTGGGTGCTTTTTGAAAACACAGGTTTTCTGGATCTATTTTCACGAATTGGAATCTCTGTGGATAGGACCAGGTGATTTTGATGTGCATCAAAAGCTTGCAATCTCTTGCATCACATCTGAAACTTTACTCGGCAAGACAGGTCAGGTTGAGTTACATAAACACTTTAAAGCAAGTCACCTGCCATTCACAACCTTAATTATTTATGTAAATAAACTAGACATTATTTCAATGCTCCTCTAAGGACTCATAGCTCTCTGTCACTTCCTTCACAGTGTTGACAAGGCTATATTACCTGAACTAAATTCTCATGAAAATGAATATTTCACTTCCTAGATAAGCAATGACCTTGGAATACTTCAATTCCATTTACATCCTCAGCCTATGAACTCTTGCTGTCATGTATTTTAATTTTCTCTACACACATACCATAAAACATTATTTTTATATTTTAAAGTCAATATTTAAATTTAATTTAATATTTTGCTCTTTAGTAGTTTCAGTATTTCGCTGTTTCCATCTAGGATATTTGTTCTGCCTGCCTGTTGAAGAATTCTCTCGGTTTTGGTCTGAAATTGTCTTTACTTCATCTTCATTTTTGAAGGCTATTTTCACTGGGCCCAGGATTCTAGTAGTTTTACCTCAGCGCTTTGTTCTGGCTTTCCCTGTTTTGTTAGGAGGTCAGCTGCTGTCTCACCGCTGCTCCTTTGAAGATAAAACTTGCTTTTTGTTCTGATCACTCTTGAGATTTTCTTTTGGTCTTGGTTTTTCAGCAGTTCTACTGTGATTTTTCTAGGTGTGGGTTTCTTAGTACTTATTCTGCCTGGGGGTTTATAGCACAACTGAACTCTGTGGCTTGATGTTCATCTACTTTGGAAAATCGTTGGTCCTCGTATTTTCAATATTGTGCCTGCCTCTCTCATGTCTTCTCTCCCTCTTAGGTCTTTTTCTGGATTTACCAGACTTTTTCGTCTTTGTGCTTTAGTTTAGATATTTTCTTTTGCTCTATTTATATATTTCACTAATTGTTTTCAGCTGATTCTAATATGGTATTTAACCAGTCTATTGATTTCATAATTTTAATTAAATTGTATTATTCAGTTCTGGAATTTCTATCTGATGACTTTTTATAAAATTTATAGTTTTCTTTTTTCCTTTTTAAAAATATATTTTATTGCTTATGCTATTACAATTGTCCCATTTTATTTCCCCCCTTTATTTCCCTCCACCCTCCACCACCTCCCACTAGCATTCCCCACCATAGTTCATGTCCATAGGTCATACATGTAAGTTCTTTGGCATCTCCATTTCCTGTACTATTCTTAACTCCCCCTGTCTACTTTGTACCTATCATTTATGCTACTTATTCCCTGTACTATTTTGCCCATTCTCCCCTCTCCCCCTCCCTGCTGATAACCCCCGTGTGATCTCCATTTCTGTAATTTTTGTTCCTATTCTACTGTTTGCTTAGTTTATTTTTTGTTTTAGGTTTGGTTGTTGATAGTTGTGAGTTTGTTGTCATTTTACACTTCATAGTTTTGGTCTTTCTTTCTTAGATAAGTCCCAACGACATTTCATATAATAAGGGCTTGGTGATGATGAACTCCTTTAGCTTGACCTTATCTGAGAAGCACTTTTTCTGCCCTTCCATTCTAAATGATAGCTTTGCTGGATAGAGCAATCTTGGATGTAGGTCTTTGGATTTCATGAGTTGGAATACCTCTTTCTAGCCCCTTCTTGCCTGCAAGGTTTCTTTTAAGAAATCAGTTAATAGTCTTATAGGAACTTCTTTGTAGGTAACTGTCTCCTTTTCTCTTGCTGCTTTTAAGATTGTCTCCTTATCTTTCATCTTGGCTAATTATGATGTACCTTGGTGTGTGCTTCTTTGGATTCAACTTCTTTGGGACTCTGAACTTCCTGGACTTTCTGGAAGTCTATTTCCTTTGCCAGATTAGGAAAGTTTTCCTTCATTATTTGTTCAATTAAGTTTTCAATTTCTTGCCCTTCCTCTCCTCCTTTGGGCACTCCTATGATTTGGATGTTGGAATAATTAAAGTTGTCCCAGAGATTCCTAAGCCTCTCTTCATTTTTCTGAATTCTTGCTTCTTCATTCTGTTCTGGTTGAATGTTTATTTCTTCCTTCTGCTCCAAACCATTGATTTGTGTCCTGGTTTCCTTCCCATCAATGTTGGTTTCCTATACATTTTCTTTTATTTCACTTTTCATAGCCCTTACTTTTTCCTCAATTTTGCAACTATACTAAACCATTTCTGTGACCATCCTGATTACCAGTATTTTGAACTGTGCACCTGATATGTGAGCTGTCTTTTCCTCACTTAGTTCTATTTTTGGAGTTTTGATCTGTTTTTTCATTTTCTCTATATTTTTTGTCTTGGTGTACCTGTTGCATAGTAAGGG